ATCAATATTACATCTAACAATGGAAAACAAAATAGATAAATGGCAATGAGGGAAAATCATGTGAATGAACAACAAAATAATCAAAGCACAGATAAAATACAAGTGAAGGCAATTAAGGAAAAACAATGACAGCTCTAATCAATAAACCGTTCTGACACAGGGTTTACAACAAAAGTCACCCCGAGGCACCACACCTCATAACCACAAATCTCAAGTCACGAGTTATGAATCTCATACCCATGTCACCTCGTGCCCACATTATCAATCACCCTCGCACGGACAACTCACATGCAAATATGGCTATCTGCCCGGGTGGTCACATGCTCCACATCACAATCCGCCCAGTATAGTCACATGTTCAATGTCACAATGCTCGGCGTGGTCACACACTACCAGTCCAACCTATATCGCAGAGAAAACAGATATACAAGAATACATGTACATGATCAATGAATATCAAGTTTCATCCTCTTGGGTGGGTATAAATGACATGTTATGGTGTATACATGTGCAAGTGTACTATCACAACTCAAATCATAAAGTAATATTATATATATCGAGTAGCGCATTGGGAAAAACATAACGAATCACGTACTATGCATTACACACACAATGAAGTCATAAGCACAATCATGAATACCCATTTTTATCAACAACATGCCCTTAGGCCATCACATGTCATCTCCGCATAGCCACCCTTATATCACCGCGTTGTCAATATCACAATAACTACCTATATCACTCCGCCCAGATAATATATCAATAACCGCCTGTATCGCTCCATACAATCAACAATAGTGAATTGCCACCCTTATGCTCCGTGAAACAACAATCAATCCCCACAATACCCACATAAGCCACAATATTGCAAAAATAACAATACCAATATCACCATATAATATATCCCATGGCTCAACAATAATGTATTCAAGAATTTCAACAACAACAAAATAGAACGGGAAATAACTCGACAATGAAAGATATTCCACATATTAACAAATTCAATTAAAAGCATATTAATAACCTAAGAGTCTAAATCGGTCAATTTTCATATATAAGCCCGAGTACACACTCGTCACCTAGTGTACATGTCTTTCACGTAATTCAAATAATGAAATTAACCCAAGTCCTATGGGGTAGTTCCCCCACACAAAGTTAGGCAAGATACTTACCTCAAAAGCCCTAAATAAATACTCTAAAAATGACTTTCCCCTAAAATTCACCTCCACTCGGCTCAAATCTAACCAAAATAGACTTAATAACATCAAATAATGCAAGAGAAATCAATTTCAATAAATAAAGTTAAGATCGTTACATAATTTTTCAAAGGTCAACAAAAGTCAACCCAGGCTCGCCCGGTCAAAACCCAGATCCAAGGGTAGATCTCGACTACCCATAACCCCACGTGTCCATAGATATGTTTTATTTTCAAATTCGAGTCCAATTCAACTCTCAAATCTCATATTTTTATTTTTCAAAACATAGACAAAATCCCCCGAAATTTCCTTTCAAATTCCATGGATTAGAGGTTAAATCTCATAAATAATCATGTAACATAATTGAAAATGAATCCAAATAACTTACCCAATATTTTTATGTGAAAAGCCCTCCCCAAAACAGCCCCATACCGAGTCTAGGGCACATAATATGATAAAATGAGGTTAAGCACCGCAAACCTAGCTATAAGTTTAGTTGTAGGTGTCCCATTTGTGATATTGGGTTCGCAAATGCGGACATCTAAAATGCATCACTTGTCTCGCAAATGCGGAAGCTGGCCTTTCATGGCAATGTCGGAAATACGACAATCACCTCGTAAAAGCGGGGTCTGCCACAATCGCAAATGCGATACTTACATCGCAAATGTGAAGCCCCCAAGCCCAAGTATTAGTGAGTTAGCAAATACGAACTCTCTCCAACCCCATCCCACCTTGCAAATGCGGAGCCCTCCTCGCAATTGCGTGGTCCGCAAATGGGAACTATATCTCGCATTTGAGAGACCTGAAGCATCAATCCAAAAACCAGGAAAACGGAAACTCGTTTAAATACTTTGAAATGCGTCTGAAACTCACCCGAGCCCCTGGGGCTCCACACCAAACATCCACACAAGTCTAAAATATCATATGAACTTGCTCGCGCAATTAAAACACCAAAATAACATCCGAAACCATAAATCGGACCTCAAAACACATGAAATTTACAATGAAACTCAAGAACTTTTAAAAATACAACTACGCGCTAGATTCCTATCAAACCAACTCGAAATGACACAAAATTTTACAAATAAGTCACAAATGACAAAACAGACCTATTCCAAGCCCCGAAACCAAAATCCGAACCCGATAGCCATAAATTCAAACCATGGTGAAACTTAGGAAAATTCTAAACCTTTAAATTGTAAATTTTTGCCAACAAGTACCAAATCAACCTAGGAACCTCTGAATCTAATTCCGGGCATATGCCTAAGTTCAAAATCACCATCCGGGCCTAATGTAACCATCAAAACTCCAGTCCGAGATCAAATATGCAAAAGTCAAACTTGGTCAACACTTCCAACTTAAAACTTCTAAAATGAGAATCATTCTTCCAAATCAACCCCGAAACGCTTGAAAACCGAAACCAACCACACATGCAAATCATAATACATAATATGAAACTACGCCAGACCTCAAATCACCAAGCTAAAGCTCAAAACGACTGGTCGGGGCATTGTATTCTCCCTCTCTGAAAGAAACGTTCGTCCTGGAATGTGCGAAGAGTCGTTCCAAAGCCATCAAATCAATGTATAAACTTACTTTACACATACACACGGGTGATCGCACGTCACCCCAATCCAAATGATTCTGAAAACACCTTCTTGATTGAAGATTAATTCTTCCACCCATATTGATAAGTCTTGGAACCAAATTTAAACATCTAAGCATCCCCCCAAAGACCTTATACTCACATAAAAAACTGTATTAACCTCAACCAGTTGTAAGAACTCATGCATACATCCACAAGGTATAACCACACACGTAACACATCACTCATGTGTCCATAGCAACAACTTTGGCTACAATAGCTGCCCATTGCCAATCTCAGTGTAGGTAAATATCCTCATAACGACTAGAACCTTGTTCTAAACCTTCATAACACTAAAAATGATATAAGAAACATGTGCAACTCATAGCTACTCCCTATTTTCAATATTCTATAAATTCATCCCACAAGGAAGAGGCAAATCACACACCACAACCACAAAGAATCTCGTCCTAACATACTCCACCACGTCACATAGTCAGGTCCAAATATACTAATCCACACGAAAGCACAAAGATCCCATCCTCGACTCTAAATCACAAGAAAGATACCCATCTCATCAACCTAAATCCTTTCACTAACTCAACCCCGTAGAACACCACCACAACACGCAATGAACTTCCTATGCTATTAGAGTATCTCAACCAAAAGTTGTGGCCAAACCATCCAGAAATCACATCAAAACCTACCGTATTAATTAACAGAAAGTCCACCCTATTATTATAACCCTCAGTAGTGACCAAACCCGAACAATAAACATGATCTACCATAATAGAGCTCCCAATAGGTGAAGACACATAAATTGAGTACAAGAACCATGAAACATAACCATATATGAAGCAAGATAGGATGGTTCACACCAATAAATAGGACCGAATCAAAATAAAACTGATGTATCTCCATAACCAACCAATACCATACCTGTAATGACATCATCTTGTGCAGCGGCCTCAACTCTACTAGGGAAAGCATAACAACGGGCTGAGCTTCCCCTCTAGGATGCCCTCTACCCGCATGTTCTCCACCTCTAGCTGGCTGTGTAGGTGGAGTAGCAACTAGAGTGGAACCCATAGCTTGAGCGCTCTGATGAAGTCCACCTCTCCAGAGTCTGGACAATCACTCATGGTGTGCCTAATATTACCACACTCATAATAACTCATCTGCGGGCATGGCTATTGGTACTGAGTCTATGCTGGATGACTGGAATAACCACTGTAGGAACCCCGTGTAGGAGGTGCACTAAAAGGTGGTTGTCCTATATGGGTACCCTCTAGTCCTTAACTAGTTGGAGCACCACGAGTAGTCTGAAGTGCAGACTGAAGTGACCGACTGAAAGAGCCTCCGCCTTGATGGGTCAGAGCTGAAGAGTAGAATCCACAAAATCCTCCAGGACCTCGAGGCCTCTTAGCCTCCCTATCTTCCCTCTCCCGACCTCGAATATGCTCTAACCTCCTAGAAATATCCACAACCTTCTAAAATGGAGTATCGATCTCCAACTCTCATGCCATCCCAAGTCTAAGACCATAATTGAGCCCCTGAATAAATCTACATACTCTCTCTCTAACAGTAGAAACCAAAATAGGTGCAAGAAGAGATAGCTTACTGAACCTCATAGCATACTCGGACACGGTCATCCTCCCTTGCTGCAACTACTCAAACTTCGTGCGCCCTGTATCCATGAGGGTTTATGGAATGAACTCCCTCAAAAACATATCAGAGAATCGAGTCCAAGTAAGTGGCGATGCGCTAACTGGCCTACCCTCATCATAAGCCTATAACCATCTATACGCTAATACTATCAGTTGGAAAGTAGTAAGGGCAACCTCGCTCACCTCCACGATACCCATGGTGTGCAAAATACGGTGACACTACTGAAGAAAACCCTGCTCATCCTCAGATGTTTCTCCATTGTAAGTAGGAGTAAAATATTTCTTGAACTTCTCAATTCTCTTATGCTCGTCCTCTAATGCCACTGGCCTGACCTCAGGCTGAACTACTATCACTAGTTGTACCATCTCAACACCCAAAACCTAATCAACATGAGCTCACTGCTCTGGAGTACGGGCGGCAAGAGTTTGAGCTCCTCCCCTAGAATGTGAAGTAGCTGGTGCATTTGGAATCAACCTCGCCTGAGCCAATGTACCAAACATGCTCAGGAATTGCGCAAAAGTCTCTTGAATTCCAGGGGTAGTAACAGGCATCTAAGCCACCTGCTCCCCAACCGGAGTTACTGGTGGCTCCTCAATGTCTACTCTGGAAGGTGCTATAACGGTATCATGTGCTTCTCCTTGGCCTCTGCCTCTGCCTATGCCCCATCCCCTAGCAACATTGGCTCTAGGGCAACATCATCAGTAATTACAGCTCGTATCCTCACCATCTATGAGAGAATAAAATAACAAAGGCTCAAACTCCGAAAGCAATAAATTTGCACGATAGGAATAAAAGAAGTGAAGTCTACCTAATAGTTCTGTAGCCTCTCAAATATAAGTACAAACATCTCTGTACCGATCCGCAAGACTCTACTAAACTTGCTTATGACTCGTAGCACCTATGAACCTAGAGCTCTAATACCAACTTGCCACGATCCAAAATTCCAACTTGAGGAAAGTGATGGCACCTAGTTCCTAGGACTAGGTAAGCCTAACACATTTGAGTTATTAATAGATTTAAACCATTTAACCATTAAAAATAAACTAGTAAATGACATACATAGCTGAAAAAGATCAATAGTTATCTTCTTTTGTAATGTGAAATCGTTCATGTGAGGCCTGCATGTATCTCTTCCAGAAGTCTGGTTGCTTCAGCGGCATCTACACACCTTAATAGACCCACGTCATGGGTCCTTCTGTACAGGACTTTCCCATTAAGGAAAAAGTAATTTGTTAGTTTTCTTAACACTCGCTTCTGACTGCTGGAGGAATTTTCTAGGTATTCTCTTGCTTTGAGTAACCTTTGGATGTCGTAATACCACTGCTTACCATCTGGCTCTTCATCTACATGGAAATAGTATGCATGTTGATCTCGAACCTCTATCTCGATGGGGCCGATGTAATTCTTATCTGGATGTTGGATCATAGATGACAAGGTTGTAAGAGTGTCGGCGAACTTATTCTGGATTCTGGGAACATGTTTGAACTCAATCTTGGTAAACTTATTACACAACTCTTTTACGCAGTGCAAATATGGAATGATCATGACATTCTTGCTTGTTGATTCGCCTTGAACTTGGTTTATCAGTGAATTCAAATCTCCTATGACCAGAAGCTCCTTGATGGTCATGTCGACTACCATCTTTAGCTCAAGGATGCATGCTTCATATTCTGCCATATTATTTGTACAAGGGAACCTTATCTTGGCTAAAGTCAGGTAATGTTGTCCTGACTCGAAAATTAGGATTGCCCCAATCCCTACACCTTTGAAATTTGTTGCTCCGTCAAAAAATATTCTCCACCCCGGGTATGACTCTGCAATATTTTGCACTGTGAACAACACCTCTTCATCTAGGAATTATGTGGTAAGTGGCTCATAATCCTTGTTTATTGAGTTCTTTGCGAGATGATCGACCAATGCTTTCCCTTTGATATCTTTCTGTGTTACCTACACAATATCGATCTCATTGAGAAGAATCTGCCATTTGGCCAACTTTCCTATAGGTATCAATTTCTAGAAGATGTACTTGAGCAGGTCGAGTCGAGATATCACATGTGTGGTGTATACCCTTAGCTTCTGATTGATCCATTTCAAAGCACAACAGGTCCGTTCTAACATGGAAATACCTTCATTATCGAGTTTATCCTAAAGAAATTAATTAAAGTTGAAGTTATTGAAAACCATTAATCTATTTTAATTGAAGTCGTATTTAAATGGAGTGTTGTTCATAGTTGAGTTACTTTCTCATTCATTTTGTTGTTATTGAGATTCTATACACATTGTGTTTGAGCCGTGGGCTATTTGTTAAGCAAATATTGATATTGTTGGTTCTTTTGGAAAGGTTATGGCCTATGGTAACTTATGGTACGAGTTGATATGCCATGTTGTTGTGATGTAGCACATGTGAATTTTTGTGTGGATTGTTTGTTGTTATTCGGAGTATAAGGGTGGCATTTCACCATTTTTGTTATACGGAATAAGGGTGGCATCTCACTGTTATCGATTGTGCAGAGTGATATGGGTGGCTATTGTGTTATTGTCTGGGCGGAATGATAAGGGTGACTATTATGCGGAGTGATTCGGGTGGCTATCGGAGTGATATGGGTGGCTAATAATATAGTCAGGGTGGAGTGATATGGGTAGCTATCTGAGAGATAAGGGTGGCAATGTCAAGGATGGTGTATGTGGCTTAGGGCATTTGTTGATGATATCCGTGTGATGGTGTGTTTTTCCTTGTGTATGTCATACACCTTAAGTGACTTGTTGTGTTGCTTTGATGAGCTGCTTGATGGCTTTGATATTACTTATTGACTTGGGTTGTAATAGTACACTCGCACAAGCATACACTGTAGCATGCCACTTATCCTAGTTCAGGAGTATGAAACTTAACATTTATTGATCATGCCCATGTATTCTTGTATTATCTGTTTCATGTTGATATTGAGCATGTGACCATGCCGGGTGAATTGTGATATTGAGCCTATGACCATGTCGGGCGGATTGTGATTTTGAGCCTGTGATCATGCCAGGCGGATTGAGATATTGGCACATGAGTTGTCCGCGCGGTTGTGATTTGAAATGTGGGCACAAGTGTCGTGAGCAATGATGGTGGGTTGAGACCCATGACTTGTGACTATGAGATGAGGTATCTCGGACTAATTTCGTAGCAAAACTTGTGCTAGAACGGCTTGACTTAATTGGTAGTTATGGTTTTTCTTATTTGGTTTCAATGGTACTTTTATGGTGTTTGTATTACTTTACTGTTTATATCATATGTTAATTCTTGTTTCCATTTAGTGATTCCTTCTTTCATTATTAGCTTTATACTTCTATACTGCACATATTGTTTTGAGTAGTGAGTGTTTTGACTTGTACCTCGTCACTACTCAATCGAGGTTAGTTTTGATACTTACTGGGTACCGATTGTGGTGTACTCATACTACACTTCTGCACATTTTTGTGCAGAGCCAGGTATTGGAGATATCAAACTCGGTCAGAGTTAGATTATTGATCGTGAGGATTGAAGGTAGAGCTGCTTGGTCTTCGCAATCCCTTGGAGTCCTTTCCTTTCATTGTACTGTCAATTTGTTATTTGAGCAGTATTGTATTTTGTTCATTGAGATCTTTTCATGCATTCAGTTAGAGTTCGTGACTCTGTATTACCTAGTCTTGGGAGGTTGTTATGATTATTGCCGCGTAGGCTTATTTCGCTTTTGTTTCGGCATTCATAAACTCTGTTTTAAATTATCATTGCTAAACTGACTTAAATTTTTGTTAGTAACCGGCTTACCTAGTCTTAGAGACTAGGTGACATCACGATGCCTGTGGTGGGATTTGGGTCGTGACAAGTTGGTATTAGAGCTCTAGGTTCATAGGTTCAACAAGTCACGAGCAAGTTTAGTAGAATCTTGCGGATCGATATGGAGACGACTGTACTTATATTTGAGAGGCTACGAAACGATTAGGAAAACACACTTCTTTCATTCTTGTTGTGCGAAATTGTTGATTTCGAAGTTCGAGCCTTTGTATCTCTATTCTCTCATAGATGGTGAGGACACGTGCAACCGGATCAGTCGAGCAGACACTCGCACCCCTACTAGATCCGCGAGAGGTCCATGCCAAGGTAGAGGCCTAGGAGGGGTACGTATCGCAGCTAGAGCACCTGCCAGAGCAGCAGTTAAGGAGCCACCAGTAGCTTCGGTTGGGGGACTGTTACGCCCCAAACTCGGGGAGCGCGACCAGAGCTCAACCTAGAGAACTCGGCCGAGCAAGCCTGTTAGATTTCCTTCTACCCAAACTCATCCATGGATAAAGAGGAGATATACTCCATTAATTAAAATTGAAAAGATTTCATTAATAACTTTCCATTTCATTCCTATTAGCAGCTTCATTTATAAATTCCAAAATATTACGAGTTTATAGAATTAATGAAAAATATGATTTTCAAGTACCAACATTTCTAGTTCAATTCCCAACATCAATCACAAACCACAATCTGTCTACGGAAATGCCGACAACAAGGCCCTGGCTATACCTCAAAACACAATACATGAGAAACAAAAACAAATAACCCCGAAATGAAGTGGGGCTCACCAAATCAGCTGAAAAGAGTGTACTGCTATCACTGATCAATGTCGCCTGCTATAGAACCACCTGCATCCATTAAAGATGCAGTGCCTCCGGCAAAAGGGATGTTAGTACTGTCAAATAGCATTAGTATATAGAGCTAAAAATCATCTTTCAAAATAGAATGCCCATATAAGAAAAGGCAACACATAGAAACAGCAAGTCATAATCAACAATATCCAGATGTCCGGTTAAAACATAATAATTTTCAAAATACAAACTTCATATATAATTTTGGTTGGGAGATCATTAGCACTGATATATCACCGTCTTTGTTAGCGCGGAGTCCTATCATGCTCGATCGGCTAGGCCATCTCCCCACGGACAATGTGGTTTGATAGGTGATGCGAAAGAAACTTGTTACCAAGAGTAGTACCACCATGTGCGCAACATGGCGCCTGATCTCCACCCGATCAGCTAGGCCGCCTTCCAACATATGCCGTATGGGTTGACTTTTCCAATCCACAAAGGTTCCAGTTTCATCCCAATTAAGGGGAATAATATCACAATTTCCCAAAGGTTCCAATTTCATGCAAAATAAGGGGAATAATCACAATCCATCCCTACACCGACACGTGTAGTTTCAGGCGTGGGCCTTATGACCCACCCTTCCTTGGTTTTGCTAATGATACTCCCAAAAATATTTTTGATTTGATTTGCAAATAGAAATATCATAAATACAATTGTACTCACCTCAACATCTTTCACATTATATAAATTCTCATTAGTATTTCCAGTCATTCACAACGACAATATTTCCTTGGCTCATTAGGCCATTCACAAGATTCTTTATTCCAGGCACGATGGCCGTATTTCATATTCCACACTTTCACCTCTTTCAATTTCAAAGATCACCATTTATTCTTGCAATACTCTTCCCCAGAAATGATAATGTATAATTTCAACACATGAGTATATAGAACTCGAATCACACTGGATATATTTATAAAGTAAAGCATTAGTTAAAGCAGCCACTGATGGGCATGAATTGAGTATAAAAGCCTTTTAGGCAATTCTATCTTTGAAGTCTTTTGTTTAAACAATTGAGTCGGGGCTCATATCATATATTCTTTATTGCATCTTCTCAAATAATTTGCACTACTAGCCACAATCATAACTTAAATTCTTGGCACGTTGGCCATACTCTATTTCTTCAATCCGCTTATTTCATTTTCAAGCATCTTTAAAGATTATCAATAACAAGATACTTCCAATCAAGACTTTAGGTACACATATGAGCAACTAAGAGTCTTAAGAATATTGAGATTTTCTCACACAATTTGGCATACTATATTTCATTGAAACACGATTCAAAGCCATAACCTTTTAATACGCAACCCATATTTGAAACTTACGGAAACATTATGGAATTCCATTCCAAGAGAGAAAGTTTAGCCAACATACCTTTCTTTGAGCTTTTATTAAATTACTACAATGTTCTAAAAAATTTAGAAATCCCAATCTATTTTGAGACATAACAAAATTGAACCATTATTAGGAAGATATTCACGATCTCAGCTCATTTGAGGATTTTATCAAACACTAGGTGTGTAAATCTAACTACAATGTTCTTCTACGAGATTTCCTTCACTCCACAATCCAATCTTTACTTATTTGAGCTCAACAATCTTTCCACGAACCTTATTTATACAAGAATGTATATATAATACTCATATACCCAAGAATCATACTCCAAATCAACCATTTTTTACCCAAATGCGAAATTGGAACACTAGGGTATGGAACCTTACCTATAAGATGAAGATCTTGTGATTAACTTCCGTGATTCTTGAAGATTGGTGCAAGATTGGATGATTATAATGTTAGGTTCCCTCATTCTCTCTCTAAAATGCTCTTATCTCTCTCTAAAACCCTCAGAAAAACACCCCAAAATAAGCCCCAAAGCCTATTTATCAAAATGGGGTCGGGTTATGAAAAGAAAAAAATTAACACTCCGAATTCAACTATGCGGTCTCACAATGGACCGCACAATTGGTGTGCGGGTCGCACAATGGTCGCACAAATCGGTGCCCAAAAATGGGCTGTTATGG